TCTTCCTCCTCCTCTAAATCACAATACCCTTATGGATTATATCCATAACAAGACCTGACATTGTTTCTTGTTGTATGAGCATCTATAATACCAGTCAATGTGAAAACACCTGAGGCTCCATAAAAAATTGTAAGCAATCAAGGTACTTGCAAAGTAGCTATAAAGTAAAAGGTACTCATCATTATCTTTGAACAGAAGCTGAGTTATTACAGTGTATTCTGCACGCTGTGCTCTTGGTTTTTTATTTTAAAAAACTATAGACTATTTAAGGATGTGCTTGACTTTACATCTACTTTTTTAAACCTCTTGAAAATATCTCTGTCCCCACTACCACTCCACATTTTTCACACCTTCAGTTCTTTTAACTTTGTTCCTTCACGCTGAAGCATTCGGTGCAGCATCTTCTGATGCAATTTGTACAAAACGTTGCTTGCAACTTCTTATATTAATTGCTCTGTATATGCTACAGATTGGTGAGCCTCAAGGTGTGCAAAATTCTGTTTAGCTACCACAAAGCCACCGATATTCTCAACTTTCCAAATCTCTTCAAACAAACAAACTTTGGAAGAGCATCTGGTTGGTGTGGCACGCCTCTTCCAGTGCATCCTGTCTGAAACAGCAGCAGAGCTTTCTGCTGTTGAAACTAAAAGGATTTTAAAAAGGAAAAAAAGAAAAGGAAAAAAACCTGTCACATGAGTTGAGGCTTCAGTCCACCTAGCTTGATTACTTCTCCCTGATCACTGTCAGCATCAGAAGCCTCTATGGAAGTTGTATGATGCTCCAAAAACTGGGAAAGAACCTTAAGAGATCCCTCAGCATGCCAAGGATATAAGGTAGACAACCAGTCTTCAAAAAAAGTTGACTGTTATAGTATTCGGTTCTCGATCTGCAACAAGTCCATTGTCTAGAAATACTACAAATAGAGGAAAACCCACCAGTTTTGTCCCCAGCAGCTTTGCTAACTTTTGCTAACAGGTGACAGAGGAAGCAGAAGTTTGCATTGCTCTGCTGAACAGCTTGGATGTGAGGACAGGGCACTGGTAGACTAGCTTGGGAGCTCACCACACCTCCTGACTGCAGGCCTGGTGAGCAGGTCCCAGCAGTTAAAAGAAGAAACGAGGGAAGCACTGGCAACTGACCCTCCTTTAATCTGCTTATTTACTGTAACAATAGGCTGCATACAAAAATTCAAACCTCTGGTTTCATTTCATATAACAAGCTCTAGAGAATTAAAGAAAAATTGTAGAAAGGAATAGGCAGGGAAGCCATTTTTTTGGCTTCAGGGAAGCTTATTTTGGCTAGAAGCTAAACAAACCCTCCTCGAAGAATCCTCAGAACGCACAGAAGAAAAAAAAAAGTCTTCTCTAAAGGACAGAAAAAGCAGAAAAGCAGGTGTCAAAATACTTCAACCAGCTACTCCAGAACTGCTGCATTATTTCAGAAATTTATAAAAGCAAAAAATGTGGGTATCTTACAAAGAATATCATATGCCAGCTGGAAATTCTCCTGTGAACAGCACAGATTGTAGTGATTTTGCAGCAGTGCTGCAGTCTCATTGCAAGAAGTACAAGGCTCTTGGGAAATTGACAGATACTTTACCTTGTGTTTCTTCTCTCTTGGATTTCTCAAAAATTATCTTGCACAAGTGCACACGAGGCCACAGTTGCAGGGCAGAGGGAGGCAATTTTCATCAATATTAGAATTCTAGACACACATGGCCAAAGCACAGAACCACCCCGTGACCATGATGGATGACAGCATTCTATGTAATTCTATGCAATATGTAAAATAATTCCACACCTGAAAATACAGCTTCACAGTAAGGAACACAAGTGGAGTTAATTTATAAGAAGGGAGGTTTATATAAAGAAATATACTGCAATTGCCTTCTCCTTTTCCATTTCTGCCAGTATTTGAAAAGAGATGGAGGGGTACCATAATCCCACACTTTGTAAATCTATGTAATATCCAAAGAAATTAGTTAGGCTAGTATTCATCCTATGTAAAGTACTTTTATTTAACATGATCCCACAGAAAGTAAACTGAATGAATTTGGGGGTGGAAGGGGCGAATATTTAAAATTGGTTTTTATGGTTGGCATAAATCTGTAGAGCTGTTCATCTGCTCTGTCTGAAAATCTGGCAGGTGATTTGCTTTAAGAACCTGATGAAAACTTATGTATTATATATTATTGTATAACATGCATGTATGTATATACACACACACATATAGGCAATCACCCAGAGGCAGGCCTCAATTCTCCAAGACTACTAAGCAAGCTATGTGCCATATGTTAAGAGCAATAAAAGCATTGCCTTCTGAGGCAGACTTCCCCTACCAGTAGAAGCCATCTGGAATATTTTTTCCTGAGGACAAAAATATAAGAATTGGGATGAGAGCTGGTCTAAGTTCCAGCTGTTATCCAGTAAAAAGATGTGTCAAAAGCAAAAGAAATAGAATTTTTTCTTAACATGAACTCAGCCATGCTGCAGCAGACATGACTACATCTGTAGGTGTGTGACAGTGATTACCAGGGATTAGAGGAAAGGGTAAGAAATAAAATCAGGAAGGAAGGAAGGTTAATGTCATTTAATTACACTGCTCAAAAGAGAAACTCCACTCAACAACAGAAATAGCGTGACAGCAATCATTTTGCTGAATTATTGTTTATTGAGAGCAAACTCCACAGATTTATTTAGCCTAGTTTTCAGACATGCTGAACTCCTTTTGAGAGAGAGAAGGAAAATTCATTGCATGAATTTTAGAACCATGACTTCTAAAAATTGAGTTTCATGTTGCCCACAAGGCAACAGACATGACCACAAGGTCATACAGAAACTCTAGAATAAGACTGCCAGAAACTGCCAACATGCACAACACAAAAGAGGCAGCAGATCAATGCTATGGCAGTAATAGCCAATATATACCAAAAGAAAAGTAGAAATACTTTGATCAGCTGCAGGCTCTAAACTAAACTCTTGAAATGAACCACAGATGATTCACGGACACTGGAGAGCAGAGGACGATTAGAAACAAGTGGTATTTAATGAGGCATGTAACAGCCAGACAAAGAACTACTGCCAGCTTTGCTGCTTTTCTACAGTGCCAGGCATAAGTGAATCTTCCTTTTAAGCAATTGACAATGTGGACTAGTCACATGTGTCACCCATCACTGCAGAGCACCGTGCAGTGTCTGTAAAAGCAGTGTACTGCTGTACACTGTCTGTAAAAGCACTGTAAAAGCAGTGTCTTAACTGCTGCAACTGTTTGAACTTAAGGTTGTCAGAGCTGCTTTAAAAAGGTTTCACACTCTGACAAGCATTTTATGTATGAGTGCATATGAAAAAGAATGAGTCAATACTAAAGTTAGCAATTAAATCCACACTCTGAACCAGGTATTCAAAAATACACCATCAGACCTTCTGAAGCTGGCTGACTGGGGGACGGGGTAGAATGCTCTTGCCTTCAGTCTTTGGTTCAAATTTAAATTGAGTTCAGGCTTTTATTTAAACAAAAAAAGTCACAATATATTTGTGACATTTTAGGGGGAGCACAGTGCTACAGCATTCAATCCCCTTAACAGACTAGTCTCCCATCAAATCAGATCAGCAACCATCACCTTTTATCAACTGTGCTGAAAGCAAATAGAAGGATGAACAGTCCTTTTTCAGAATATTGCAATACTGAAGGGAATATATCCATTTACAGAAGAAAGGGAACCTAAGTTACACATAAACCTTCTGAATAAATCATCAAACAGAGCAGTATCTCTGATGCCACTGTAATGCTGAAGGGTCATACCCAAAAAGGTAAAGCAGCAGTGGGAAGTTACATGCACCATCCTGCTTCCAAGAATCATCCTGATTTCATTTAGTAAGTTCCCACAAAAGATCATCTCACTACCAAAATCTCACACAGAGCAATGATACATTCACTGGGCACATAAAAATTTCACATTAATTTTATTTCTCTCCATCTTTTTGCAAAGTCTTCTAAGGACAACAGTATCATCTGACGTCAGAGAAGCAAACTTTGGCTAGCATCCGTTTGTGAAGACTAACACGCAGGCTCAGAAAAAAAACCTCTCTCCATTATCCACAACAGTTTCCATACTCACATTCCTATCACAGGAGTCCATAAAAAGCAGAAAGGAAAAACCCATACTAGCAGAACATTACTGATTCTATGTGATCATACATTTAAGACTTAAAAGTTTCATAAAACTACTCATCCACTAGCTTGCAGAAATAGAAGACACCGTGATCTTAAAGAAGATCCATAAACCATACATTTTATGATAGTCTTTTATCCAGAGAAATTAAGATATCTACTGTGTCTTAGATGCATACAAATTTAATTTCATACTAAGGACTCGATTTTAAAATTCACAAACTCCTGAAAAGACATTTTCATGTGTCATTTGAGGTAGGCTTCTTTAGTTTAACTTAACACTTCTTTCTTTTGCTTTAAGCTAAGATAAACTTGCTTCAGCTGAAATTAACTGAGAATATACCATTTTTTAATTAAATTGTTTTACACTTATACTCTGATTTTAACCTCTGCAAATTTTGCCATACGTCTTGGTTGCATCAGAAGTACAGCTCAGAGCTTCCAGCTTTGAAGTGCCATTTGAGCAGAAGGCATCTCCATGTACAGTTCAAAGCAGGAAGGCTGCTACACACCACAGAGAGCAACGTGCCACAGCCTGCTTCATGTCACACTGCCTTTTCAAACAAGGGGCCTAGACATCATCTACTTCTGAGGAATGTACCTAGTGAAGAGAACATTCTCTTCACCATTGTTGCTCTTCCCTCCATCGGATCAGCTACAACTTTGTATTTGGAACTGATGTCAGAACTACAGATCCAAGAGCTGGGATATTCACACCTGTACTTTTTAGGTGCTCCACATGTTACCGCCTGCCATATGCCAAGCTGCATGTTGCAGGGGGACATTACACCCTTGCTCATGAGATAACATCAACCAGGTGCTGCACCCACCTTCACAATCAGACTCCGGTGCTCCTCAGACTGACTGAAGTTTGTGCCCATTTCAAAGATACTCATCGTTCCTTCCTCACACAGGTTCATCCAGGTGTGGTATTCTTCACGCTCTGGCAGTCTATCCCAGAATGTCTTGAAGACTTCCCAGACTGTTTCCTGACACACTAAAGGCAAAAGAAAGGTCTGGTGTTAGTACAACAGGAGTGCTTCCATAGCATGGGTGGCTATCAGTATGTTGATATATAGAATAGTGTGACTATACACCTACAGGTGTAAGGGGCTGAAGGGACTGGCAATGAAGGTCCCTCCCTGATTTTTTTACGTCTCCTAACACCTATTAAGAACAACAGTATTTTCACCGAGTGAAACTGACCTTGAGGAATGGGTCAAATTTTTAGAAAATGTAGAAAACCAAAACAGTATGGCAACTGCCCTCACAGAAAGCAGAGCTGGGGCTTAGTTTGTAAGAATAATAGTTGCAGCCATCAAAGTTTTAGAGGCTCAATCAGTAACAATTCCTTCGGACTCAGCTCTACACAGAATTTAAAATAAAGTTTCACATAATTGCATTAATAATTTGAAAAACAAGGCAGTTATGATGACAAATTAACAAGAAATAAGTCAACCTCTAACTGTACTGCAGATATGCACTGGGAAAAAACTAGATATCTCTGACTGAACAGAGAGTCTGCAAATCAAGGGTTAGATTATCTTGTACTATGGCAGCTGCTTTAACCTCCCAGTCTCGCATGTGCTCTTTGCCAATCAGAGCAGTTGGTCACATAATGCTCAAGCAAGAACCTCTCTGTGACCCAGGATAACTGAAGAAAGGAAGATTTATAGGATTTTCCTTGTGAAGAGAACAAAGCTAAAAGGAGAACTCTAAAAATCACTCGACACAGATGCCAGCCTGAAGTAGCAGTGGACAAACCTGCTTTTTGGCCTTAATCAGATTTCAGTAGTTACATACGTACAGATCAGCAGAGGAATGCTTTGCATTCAGGGAAATTCTTGACATCATAAGCAAGATCCTACAAGAAACTGATAGTGAATCTGTCTCTGGAAAGTCATTTTCTTCAATCAGTGCCAAAACCAGTACTTTACTGCTATTTCTTGGTACTCTGTATTCTGAATTCGAAAAATCTATTAAACTTGTACTTACTTGTACAAGCACTTACCTACACAAGTACTTACTTGTGTTAAACAACACAGATCACACATGGAAATGTCCCTTCATTCAGTGAAGAGATGGACAATTTTCTTAAATACAAAGGCTTTATAAACAACAACCTTAAGGAACTGTTCCACATGCACTAGCCCCCTTAAAGCTCAACTGACTCTGTCACGCTGGATGGCACCATGCAGAAAAAGCTCTTTTCTCCACCCTGAACTTCAGTTTATCAGATCAGTTGAGACCATTTCTTCATTGTGGAACTCTACAGCTCATTTAATATGTGTCACTGGTGAGGAACACAGTCCTCAAACTCTGCATTATTAACTGTCAGTTGTATATTACTGCTCTAGGACCCTTCCAGCTTCCAGGTAGGTAACTTTTAAGACACAGTAATTAGATAAGGAGTTTTGGAGACGCTTCCAATCAGTTTTGCTTATGCACCTTTATGAATCAGAAATAAATAGCCAAATTTAGAAGCATCCACGCACCTTTTCACATTCCCCCTCAAGTTATGCTTGCTTCCTCAGCAGCTGAGGAAGAAAACTCTTTGAGGCAGAGACCACATTTCCATACGACCTCTGCTGAGACCTCAGGCAATGAAGCCATAATCCTGCTTTGGGATTTCTGGATCCTGCTGGAGTACTAATAAGCTTCCCAAAGCAGAATGACATCTGTACTATCCTATCATCCCAATCCTAAAAGCTGGGCATCCAAGAAAAGACCAAAGTCTAGTTTCAGATCCAGAAGGCTACAGTAAGGAATAGTGCGCTCTCAGCATTTTTTGGGAGGCATTTATATTCTGCATTCTGGCTTATGCATCTTTCACTCCAGGTGCAACAATCTTGCAATGAGGTTATTCCCTGTGGCTGGGATAAGCCTTCAGGAGGCTATCAATGGGAACTGAAGCTAAATCAATAGTTTGCAAATACATGGCAGCGACACTGTCTAATCCTACGGTTTTAAGCAAAAGGGAATAGGCAAAGGACTGGCTTTCCAGTTACAAGTAATAATTGGCAGTAATAATTGAAGGCAGTTTTCCTTAATGCTTTTTAATAATTTTAATCTCTTTTTTAAAATAAATGCGATGAGATAGTATCTTGCTCGACTACAAGCTGCTGCTGTAGGAACAGTTGTCCCAATCAGCTCCCAATAGATTAAGGATTTGTTGTGTGTCCTTTCATTTGGAATTAGACACCCCACTGAATTCCAATCCCAAAGGCTTTGTGCCATCTGTGGGCTCCAAGCCCGTTAATCAGACCTAAGCTGTCAGAAGAGGGTTCATATTTTTTGTGGAAAGAGGATGCCCATAAGGAGTCACATTCTGTCCTCTCTAGCTTGTGTCCTGTCTAGCCATTTCCACTGCAGTGAACAGTAACAAGTTGGACATCATGGTGCAAATTGCTTCTGTATTCAGAAGGAGAAGGCTGGCCCATTTCTTGCTCCCGACTAGGTCTGAGAGTTTGTTAGTTCTGACACACAGGGAGAGATTAAAAACCTCAGGCAAACATCTATCCCAATCGCCATTTAAACACTCCTGTTCGCCTTGCCCAGGAAACCCCATCCTCAGCCATGGTGAGCCACTTGCCACGCACAGTCCACCCCGCAACCTTGTTGACATGCAGCCCAATGTGTCATTATCCTGTTTATTCCAACTGGCCAGTTTGTAAAGCAGGGGATTGCTTTGCAGGATAACAAATCCAGGCTGCAAGGGCTCAACCCAAGAACCAGCCTCAGGCCTGCTTAGATCTATATGGTTTTCAAGACCAAATCTGTAGCCTGGCTAAGAAAAAGAACACCTTTTTCAATGCTTTGTAGTTAGACAAAAGTTGCCACACCAAGCACAGAAAAAGAACAGCATGGTTTCTTCAGTGGGGCTCCAATCATGCTCATGTAAAGAAAGAAACAAGCATGATTTTATCTCCCATCTCTCCTTCAGGTACATCAAAGAGGGAGCCAGTTCTTACCATGGCTTCATTGACGTGGCCACCCAGGGAACTGAAGAGACACCACCCCCTCAGTGCATTCAAGTTCCATAACAAATGTGATTACCCTTCTTTTAATTTGAAGGTGGAGCCCACCCCTGTGGTGGATTTTTGACTATCTGCTGGCCAGGGAGGTTTTTCAAGGTTTCTTATCAACAAACTCTTGAGAATTCCCATAAAAGAAAAATATGATTTTCATAAGTAGATTATAAGATTTCTGAGACTCTGTAGACAAAACTTGGAGACAAAAATGTAAACAAAGTTAAACAGGACTTGACTGGAAGATTCAGTAACTATATTTTACTGTACAAAAATAGTTCACTTTCTTTCCTTTCTGACTCTCCAGCAACTTGCCAGTATCTGTGCCACATATGCTATCTACGTGTAAACATACGTAAAATTGCAACCTCTTGAAACCAAAATAGAAAATAAGAGAAAATGAGTCAGGGGGAGAAACAACCAAACAGATTTACCAGTAAGCTTTTTGACTAGAAGTGTAACTGTGAATTTTAAATATAACATGTTTAAAGTAGATAGAGAAGGGGAAAAAATTGCGGCATTGGAGTTTACTATAAATTGCCAGGAGCCCAACAGTTCAGAGTTATGACTGAAACTGCTTGTTTCACACAATATGCTGTGCTAACATACTCCAACTATTAAGTAAAATAAATCTGCGTAACACAGGCTTTGTGTTATGATCTTTCCAGGAATTTGGTTTCTAAGACAAGCTGGAAAACCCTTAAAAACCAGCCAAGCAGCCGGCGCTGCCAGGATGAGGAAGGACCTGCTGAGCAGACCCAGCAGCGCTGCTGTCACGTGTCACCTGCATCCCAGATCAGGCCTCCGGGCACGTGAGAAGAGCCTGTCTCTATGCTGGGTCTCACGCCAAACTTTCACTGGCCTGCTACAGGGGTAGGCACAGGCACGGAGACGTGGGGCAGCATTAGCAACACCAGGCCCTGGAGGAGACAGGATTTGCGATGAGGCCTCTAATCCCTGGCAAACAATACTGATTAAAAGCATCATAAAATCGAGATCAATCTTTTAAGGCAGCGAGCTAAGAGCCTTGAAGCTACACGTGGGTGGGAAGGTAAGCTCCTCTAGAAAATTACTTCCTTCATCCACGGCTGCAGTAATAAATAACTTGTATTTTAGTGTTAACTGATTTCTCAGGTACTTCACCGTTTTCCTCTGGAGAATTCAGTTGTTAAAAAATGAAGACTTATGAGATACAGACGGTCTCCCTGCTACAGAGATGTGATCACTCCAGCTGTCTACAGGATAGGAAGTAGGTATGCAGAAGGTGTGTGACTGACTGACGTGATAAACCAGAATTCAAACCAAGAACGCAAACAGAGCTTGTTCTGCAGTTTTTCTCCAAAGTCCACTTTGTATGCACATACTACATTTTGCATATAGTCCATCCTGAAATGCCTCAGAAGTTCAAGTAACTTAACTCATCACTGAGATAATAGTCTTCAAAGTGAGTGAGCGCCAAGGCAGTGAAAATGGAAAGAACAGCACATTTGACCCATGCCCTTGTACAAACTTCCACTCGAGCAAAGTGTCATAGTGCCTACCTAAAGTAGGCAAGATCTTGATTTTTAAAGGCTGTAACAAGTTTTGAAGGCTGCCTTGGAAAGCCAGACATGTAGTAAGACCACATGAATCCCAGCAGATCTACTCTGGAAGCTGAAAAGCCTAGCCCTTGGGAGCTATCTGGTTCAAATGCAGTGTTTGCACTCAAGTCATACCTACAAATAATAACAAATATCCAGAAAAACTTAAGATAAATTGTGTTTCAGCCAAAAAAAAATTCCGCATAGGCAGGCACAACCTCTTTTCAGCCCTATGAATCTGTAGGAAAGTGTGGAAAAATGGTTATTTGAAGTTCCCTTTCCAAAAGGCTTTGTTGTTCTTTTCAAAACCTCCAGCTTAGATCTGTGATGAGATGATCTTTCTCTCTGAAATTTCTACCTCTCATGCACCTGGATAGGATACAGAGTCTCTGTGGCTCCAGTTTTACCATTCAGGTTGCATTTATCTCTCAAATGCGAGCCAATTAGCCTATTACACTCAGTCCATGCTCAGGGATTTCTGAGGTTAACAGAAGGGGCACCATATGACAGCCCTGGGCACCAAGTAGGGGGTAGGGTGGCTTTCTGGCCATTTGTGTAAGTGGGCAGTGCTGGAGTTTAATCCCAGTTAAATCCCATTAGAGCTTCTTAAGAGTTGAATCGTGTACAGTGGCTAGGAGCACCGAATCAGGCTGAATATTCTATTTTGAGGCAACATGAGGCCAACTCCTTCTCTCTTTCTGCACAATGGAATGGCTTACTTGCAGTGGGTTTTGATAAGGACAACAGTAACAGGGAGACTGACGGACATGTCCTCAGAGATGTTTCCTGCAAAGACTCCTTGGCACTCACTAAACAGATTAATATACACACATGCAGAGAAATCACTTCATCTATTGCTGAAATACTGCTGTGTATGGCCTAGAGCATAGCAACCCTTAAACAATATACATAACAAACCAGGATTTTAAATTAAAATAGTTGAATGGAAATTAGCTAATCCACATGAAAAATCTTTTTCTTTGAACGCTCATATTCTAAACTAGCACATAAACTATTCTCAACAGTAATATTTCAGTAACTACAAAGGATTATCTTTCATAGGAGAAGTCAATCTTTTTAGAAGCATGTGCTGACATCTAATAATTCAAATACAGAGGGAGACAGAACTAGACCTTCTACAAATAAACTTCAGAAATGCATTGGCTGAGTATGAGTTATGCACAGCCTGTGCCAGGGATGAGGGGGAAACAAAGAGAAAAGGCTTACTCAGCCAGACACGTTATTTATTGCATGCTTGTTTAGCCAGGTACTTTTTATGACTTTTGACTGTTTGCTTTTATCATTATTCAGCAAGATTTGAATAATTTGTAACATTTAGGACTTCAGCATCATATTAAAACTTCACTTTTAACTCTGACCATGAGCAGAATATAACATCATTATTTCTAATGCTTCGGTAAATAGATTTGAAGTGACCCAAGAAAGGGGAAAAAGAGAGAGCTCAGTGCTATGCCTGAGATTACCAATCTAGGGGTTACAATCATGAATAGAACTTCATTCCTGAGCAATACCTTTTATTCTTTCCCAAGTATCACAACGTCCTTGTCACTCATCAGCTATGACACACTAGAATATGGTCCGTTTCCTTCTTTGGTCATTATCTTTAAACACTATCTTTAGATTTTCAGCTTTGTCTGAAGTTCTGGCTGACAAAAATGGTTCTGGCAGTGAGACTATCTGATCTTACTCTTGTGAAAAGATGACGTTCTCATGAGCATATGCTGAACTGTTTAAGACAATGGATCACAGTAGGAAAAAAATGCCAACAGAATTTAGGAAAGGTAGCCACCAGAGTAATTACATTTCAGAGGCAGCAAAAGCAGCAGTATTAATCCTGAACCTTGGTGTCAAAATCCAGCAGCCTTTGTTTTACCCAGTTAACAGGCACAGGAAAAATGGTGCAAGCCATGCTACCTTGCAATCCTCATCTTGTTTCTATTTTACTCACTTATTCCACTTCCAAGTCTATTGCAATCCTGAGCCATCTACTGCTGATTTACACTAAAGGGAATGGACAGATTCATTGAATTGTCTACATAGGGTGACTGGTCATGACAGACTTTTGGTCTGAGTGAATATGGCTATTTTTCACATAATAATTTTTATTTAACAGGGGCTTTTGCTACCATATTCCTGCCAGCAGTAAAGAACATAATTATTCATAACCAACCATATAGAGCACGCTCACTATCTGAAACCCCACTATTAGATTTCCACAAAATCTTTTTTGTGAAATCTCCGGTTGCCCATTGGACACACTTTGTGTTCACCACAACAGCCCAGCTATGAACCACCACTAAATTTACATGACTCCTCCAGCAGCAACCACAACATTGCCACCTTTTAAAAGGACATGTGTTAAAAACACTCTGTAAGAACCAACCCATAGCTCTACAGTGCCCAATCTGTAAGCATCTATGACTGATTTCCATCTTTATATTCTAAGAAATAAAATACAAAGCCAGCCAACAGCAGCAACCTCCATATAAATCTACAAGAGATGCAGAGACTGTGCCATACTGGGGACTACAGAGGCAACCATAATCCCAGATTCATCTCAAAAGAGACTGAACATAATATCTTCTGCTAATGTAAAACTCAGTTTGTTCTGCAATCTGATTGACTGTAGGAATAAATCAGCACTTGAGAAATCTGTCTTTTAGACTGCAGGTGTAGGGAAACAAGTACAAAAAGACCCTTATTCTTGGCTGGTGCCTCTGACTACTATAGTAATAATAACAACCACCAGTGAATAATCATATCGTTACTTGGACTTTCATATGCTGAAGGGTGCTACTGCTGTTTTAGGAAACGCTGATTTTTCTCCAGATCCCTGTATTTTGCCACCCTTTGATATTATTATTTTAATGATTTATTTTATATTGGCCATAGCTCTTTATCTTGTATCTTTTTCAGGCTGAAAAAAATACAGATGTTGTAGACTGGGAGAAAAAAAAGCTGTATACTGTTAAGCCTACAGCTATGTGACTTAAGCACTTGCTTAAAGCCTCTGACAGAAATGTTCGTCAGTCAGTCTCTGACACTAATAGAGGCTTTAACAAGCTAGCAAAAGTAAATAAAGCTTGGAGCTACAGATAGATAATTATATTCCCACCTGCTTGCTTCTAGGGTAGATATAGATAGAACAAACGTAACCTGGATCATCAGCACGTGCAAACCTTTTCTTTTTTTCTAACAAGCTCTAACAACTTTGCCTTCCGTGGTAGTGGCAAAGATCTTTGCTGATAATAAAGTAAAACTAAGGAAAGAATAGACTCCATTGAAACCATCCTTTCCAGTGAAATTATGGGATATTAAATCATTCCTTACTTTAACAGATAGAAAGAAGATTCTAAAAATGCAGACTGAGACTGAAAAAATCAACAGAATCTGTTGATTCCACACAGGAATATTTATTCCCATATGGGGTCAGTCATTTTTCTCATCACTGATAGCAGCTGGTCTCTGAATGCTGAACAGTGATCATGTTCTTTCTAGGACTATTTTGTTGACAGCGCAGACAAAAAAGTCCATCTCACTATTTTATCACTGCACCAATTCAGCTAGCTGGCCAATACATGGTTTCAAGAAGAAGCTGGTACATAACTCAATAACACTCAAGGAACAGCTTTACTGTGGATGAAAGTAACAGCATCATCAACTCTCACTTACCTCAGGTGCATTTACTCAGGATGTGATTAACTAAACATCACCAAATACTTGTGATGCAGCACATTGCCACTAACAGAAGGAAGATGACAAATTGCTTGAACCAGACCTTGCTCGACTTGTTGCTAATCAGTCACCTCTGCTACTTGCAGAGATCTTTTTCAAAAGTTTTAAGCTGAAAGTGCTAAGGGTGATCATAACATCTCTGCTCAAGAAATCCATGTGGATTGTGGAAGCCATAAATCCAGTAGGAAAGCAGATGGACTAGGTGGATTTGTGATTCAAACTAGGACCATTAAGTTCTAAATAAACTTTCACAACCTAATTTACAGATTTTTATTCTTTATTATCACTTACGCTTTTGCTTACTTACCCTCACATACACCTATCACAGATAACTGAGGGGTGACTTGCAGTTAAAGTACGTAGTATGGATTCATTTTGAGCAAAACAAAGAGCAGTTGAGTGTTACTGGGTGGATGCACACAAGAAGCTTGCAAAGCCTGTCAAACTGTCTGTGTGATCATCAATATCGACATCCCTCGCAAGCTGGGCACACTTTGTATTTGAATGAGGCTCTGATTCCATATAATTCCACTTTGTTCTTCAAACACATTCTTTGTGTTTACTTTCACACAGACACTCAGCAACTCCCAGTTTTAACTGTTTTTCACTGCTCTAAGCAAATAAATTTAGTTACCTGTGGGACTTTCTTCTACTGGTAATCAAAGAAGTCTCATTAAACAAATGTCTCTGAACACCTTGCCTTCTCCTTTAAGTGACAGCAGCTCTTTCCCATTCCACCAATTGCATGCAAACATGTTAAGACAATATTAATTGTTTGAATGCTATAAAACAGAGACACACAAATACCAGAAAGCGCTGCACGACCTCGACGCCCCATTCCAGTGTTGTCAGACAGAAGGGTTTAACATACATCACACTGCTGTAATATTTCATCACATGAAAGAAGGTGTTACTGGGAATATTTCAGCTTTTCAGAGAAAGCTCTGTCACACCAACTGCTACATCTAAAAAGAAAGGCTTCATCTCTATTATACTACAGCCTGAAACAGGAGATGGGCTTTTTTGACAAGAGAATACACTACGCTTTGCACAACGAGCCATAGTCAAAAGTCACATGGCTGAAAGGCTTATGTCTCAGACTTGACTCTTCCAAAAGATCCCTCAGTGAATTTTACTAGCGCTTGAAGAACACTAAATAAAAACAACAAGCTCTGCCATTTAGCAAACCTGTACATAACACCTATTTTTCTCAGCATCCAAATTGTTCTATGAGAAAGGGTGATTATTAAACACTACCTGTGGTTTCAGTGACTGAGAGTTTTTATAATACATGACTGTAATCAGAAGGTGGGTTTTTAGCTTAGAACAGCTCTCATAATGAAGATTATCACAGAAAACTAAGTTTCTTGGGTAATAATGTATTTTCTATGGCCTGGTATTTATTATGTCTAAAAGCTTTGTCTATTTTTTTAATAAATAAACATTCTGTATCAATTACCCATGAGATATACAATCACTTACCTCTGAGCCTGAAATATTTCAGATGGTTGGCAATAGCCTGCTCAATAGATTCATCGGGGCAGATCTTAACTCCACTGGGAAACAGAATGGACCGCTTCCTCCGTAACAGCACGTGCTTGTTGACCTGCTCAGCATCCACAATGCCAGCGAGCTTTTCCAACCCAGGAAGCAGAGGAGGGTTTGCCAACTGCCAGCCACGGAGCTGAGGGGTTGGTGAACCACCTTTAGCCTGTCCTTCTGCTGTAAAATTAAAATCACACATAATGCAATCATATGTATCTTAATGCCATTGCTCTGGTCTCTGAAGGAAGTAACTGTGCTTTCTCTGGTAACAAAAGCTATCTTTACCTGACTGTACTATTATAAACAACCTTAAGCTCTTTACAGCGTTCCATCAAATGGTAACATAACTTAAAGTCCTAATCCTTTGAATGCTAATGTTTTGTCTTTAACTTCCCTTTTGTGATTTGGCTTAAGTTAGTGGGACTATATTTGTGGATAAACGTACCTAAAATTTTTCAGGGTGAATGGAATAAGTGAATGAGGTAATTAACTAATTAACAAGTTCTTTTATTCCATATTTTCTTTCCACAAGGAAACATCTCTATCCTTTGCATCAAGAAAGCTGCTTGAATTGACAGCTAGCAAGTACACTTTTCACTACCATGAGACAGGTCCCTACCCAACTGGAGTGGGGAAAAAAAGGGGCTCATCAGCTTTAGCTTTTTTTAAAATGCCCTCTTATGTTATTTGTCCATATCACTCTAGAGGAAACCTTACAGCTGAGGGGAGAATGTGTCTATTTGATTTTAGTCTGACAGTCTAATTCTCTGTCCTCCAGTCAGCAGTCAGCTGATTTTAAATTAGTTAATTCAAATTTCTCCTTTCACTTTTTCCCAAGAAAACATGACTGAAGAAGAATCACAAGGAATCATTTACTAGAGAAAGAACAGCAATAAACTTATCACATTTCTCATCCTGCAGATTATAAGCTTATTCTGCAACTTCAAAGTCAATAGCACCTTTGACTTTGATGACTGAAAGATGAAGAACATGGTTATTTTGATGGTATATTAATAGCCAGGTCTAGTGCAGAAGACCACCATGAGATGCTACATCAGAGGGAGAAGGGAACATAAAAAAGGTCACTAAGAAAAAAGCCCAGTCTTTCAAGCCCCATCTTCAGTGTGCATAAGCAGAAGACAGAACCTCACTTTTTAATATTTAATTCAAAATTATTAATGAAAAAAGCACCGCGTAAAACATTTATCAGTAATTAATGTCTCTCAAGGTTGGAAAAACTTGCCTCCTGTAGCTACATTTTACACTTAACACAAATGTACAGTAATACCTCCTGGAAATCACGCTAAGTACTGCATATTTACACTGATTCATGGCACAGATTAGTCCCCTTTGTTATAATTAAAGCAGAGAGGTGTTTTTATTTCTACACACTGCCATAGGTAAACTTTGAAAGCAAGAATATGAATAAGTTTTCTGCATTACCTGGAGCTATTTGAAGATCGCCTTTAATCACTCCCAAAACCGGAAGGCAAAGAAACATTTTCCAAATGAAGCCAAACATACTTATTTGCGTAAAAAATAAAAAACCAGTATGCAAGGAAAAAGAAAAAGAAAATCCGTTTTAGCAAAAGAGCTGTTGTTGTCTTTAACGTATCCTTGAATCAACCAAGAGTATTACCCTTCTTGAAAATGCCTTGACGTCACATATAATTATCTTTGGAAAAGACATTGGGTAAAAAAAGTCAACCAACACATCCTGGGAAAGTTCTTTTTGAAGACAGTATTCCACTTCAGTGAAGAAACAAGAAAAGGTGATGGAACTAAACTCCTTGGAGCTAGCAGATGGACTGAGACAATTTTTTAATTTTAATCTGGCCAGCTAAGCTCTTTACCAGAGCTTGTCATACCATTAACAGACAGTCCAAACAAGGACAGCTCCTTTCACATTTAATTAACCACGTTTTTTCATTGGCCCTTCAATTTCTGCCATTTTTTTAAAAATCCTACTGAACACAAAACATCGGAGGGAGCGCAGCAATCTCCAGCGGAAGGTCTCAGTGTGTTTTGTCTCCTCTGTGTACAAATTATGTATTTAAAAAGGCACTGACTCGCTTAAACAGCAATGCGTGTGTAGCTAACACCGAAGCTATCCTTCTGTAGGATTGTTTCTTCTGGTGACAGAGCTAACGCAGCCCTGCCGCCTGAGTCTCTGCTAAAGCAGAACATCTCGTGCTGTTACACCACTGTCCCTCGCACCCCAGAAGAGGTGCTTCCCCCAGAAATAATGCCAGGGTGAGTTGGGATTCTTTCATCTCTCTTCAGGTATTACATGACATGAGCAGTAGGAAGAAATTAGTCCAGATACCTGAAGAAATGGCCAGCTAAAAAGAACTGCAGAAAGGCCAGGAAAGAGTGCAGGAAAGCAGCAGCAATCTCAGCTCCCCTCCTGTCCGGGGTCAGCTCATTGTGGAAACGTGTACAGAAGCAGCCCTGGCATGGCAGACTGAATTCAGACCACTAGAAAAACCCTGTCAGGGCTGTCTCCTGGGTGGTGTCAACTCAGGACTTGCTGGTTACTGCGTTTGGATCAATCTGAGCAAACTGCTGGTTTGTCTGAAGTGACTATTTTTGGTAGCGGTTTTGCGTAAACATTTCAAAGCTGGATTCCCAAGGCTTCCCCGAATACAGCCTGCAGAGCATTTGCATGGAGCTCCTTAGGTACACGGTGCTGACTCCTCTCTTCTAGATGTTCTGCTGAACTCCAATAACTCAGGTAACACTGACAATTCCTTATATTATGCACAGGAATCAAATAAAACCACCTTTTACGGTCTAGTAGATATTTTTCCAAACAGTAACATCTTTTCCTTGATTTTTTTTCCGCAAAACTACTGTTACACTTTAAGTTAAACCACTGAGATGGTCTGACACCCCCAGACAATTTTCTTAGGATCAGACGTTTTGGATCTATCAAACCAGTGCTGTTCACCAAGGTTGGCTCTGTCAAGCTAACTAAGAACATTAGCTTAGATGAAACCTTTTCCCTTCCTCAGTTTCTGTGGTTGCTGTTGCCAAGCATTTCACCATGACCACTTTTTGCCTGTGCTCTTGGGGAGTTCTCTGGTGAACCATCTCCCAGGAATAAGCAAGGTCTGAGGCTGTTTAGCCTTCCAGCTGAGCAGATTCAGCCCACCATAGCCTGTCCTACTGCCATCTCTTCCACCACATAGTATTGCAAAGAATTTGGAGCAGAAAAATCAGGAAGTGAGGTCAACGTAATTAATGTAACTAACACTTTACTATCTGCTCTGTCCTTGTAGTGTAAGCCTACTCTCAGCATTCCTCCTTTTCTGAACTGTTGATCAGATAAGTGTATCTTACCTTGTTCGACAGCCAAGATGATCCCAGTGCCTGTGGTTCACCTTTGAACAGTGTTTCCAACTTCAATTTGGTTGGACAGTTGGACATAATTATTGCTGTTGGTCTTGGTTTTATGTTACCATTAATGGAAACATTTTCAATCCTGAGACCTTTCAGGTCTCATTCTACAATTCCTGCTTTTCCATCTAGAAACCAGAGTCTCTTTTTTTTGGATGAGGGCTGGGGCAGAGGCAATATTCTGCTTCCTTGTCATAACCAAGACAAAAGTGTTGCTATTGTGGCTTTTAAGTCTTTATTATTTTGTAAGGTGTAGTATTTACTGAGTACCGCAAGTTCATTTTGGAGTCAAATTGTAGGAGGCGAGTCCCAGAAATGACAGATGGACTGCAATGAATCTATGCCTGCAATTCCAGAGGAAAAGCACAGCAGTCTACGGATACTTTTTAAAAAGCACATTTGCAGTGTCATGATTCACTTCTCCAGTTCTTGATAAGAAATAGGTGGTTTTTTATATTTTTCCTGGAGGATTGACTCCCCACAAGTTACTTCTCTTCCACCTTGTTTCTTGTATCATGCTTGCCACCAGAACCTTAAACAGATATCCATGACTCAGATTTCTTCATTAAAGAAACTGATAGCTACATTTAACAGAGTACCAGTCATTGTCTGGAAACCAAAATTACACAGTGTAGGGTAAACAGCCTTACAAACATTGGTTTACTATGAAAGTATCATGCCAGTCCACCATCTCAGTTAAACAGGAATTAACACAGGAAATGGAGATGCAAGAGATGTGCAAAAAGGTCCCTGCATCAGCCTGGTGCCTTATACGTGCTCAGAGTTATCTTTGGGGAGTTCTAGCAACTAAACAGGATGCACAAAGGTACCTGGAGTGTAACTTTTTCCACAGACACTTCCTAGCATTCACCACATACCAGTTAAGTGCAAATGGCTGGAATGCAGTGGGTTGCAGTTGGTGGACCCTGGCACTTCCCAGGTCAGTCAGTCAGGCCGCCAAGACTGTCAGCCTGACTACAGAAAACAACTGTAAGGCTCTGGAGTCAACAAGCAGCCTTGCTTGCCACAGGAAGCTGTGAACTAGCTGCATGCCTTACTAAGGACTAGAGAACAAATAATCACTTTGATACAAATTTGGGTTAAGAGAGACATACTGCGTCTATACCTTGAGAGCAGCAAGATGATGGAGGACAGCCTATCTTACGCAGCTCACTGGCTATCTGTGGCAGCTGGAAAAAAATGGTAACAATCACGTTCAGCAACTTCTGGAGATAAGTTTAATATCAAAAGTATTGGCATTCTCATAGCACATATCTAGCAAATCTACAAAGGCAATCCTTTAATGTTATAAAACCAATTTAGAAAATTTTATACATGACTTTTGCTTTTAAATATCCATTTTTACTTAAAGTAAATATCCAGTCAATTTAAAAAAAGAACAGATTACTTTCTGATAAAACCTGACTTTACCATGAGAAAAAACCCAAACTATTTGTCATGAGGGAAAACTGAAAATGTGCATCAATTAAAAAGGTGTAGAGAAGGCGCACACGTTTCTGCATTTTATCTTTCATCTGTTTTACAATAAATACGGAGATTATCCCTATAAGTAATGCTGATGATGTGATTTAGGTGATGAAAGCCACAAAACTTCTGGATGAGGGTAGGGGCTAGTGACAAACTACAGAATTAAAGTAGAAAGAAAACCAAAAACCACACAGTAATTGCACTAGGCTGGTCACAGCTATACAGAAGGTAACTGCGCTCAGAAAATAATTTTAAAATTGCATCTCTTCTCCAGAAAGAACGCTTCCTGGGCTTGAGAAACAATGGTGGGGAATTTTTTTTGGATGACTGTACAGAACCTGAAGTAATAACTGCATTTTCCAAATGCCAGATTTCAGAGTTGTCTTGACAGAAGGGGCCCTGAGAATTCTGCAGTGCCATAAAAATGTTCACATCTTTGGGTTGCCTCTATCTTTATTGTAACTCTCTAGCCTACTTCCAGCTTTTAAGAGCTCTGGTTTTGTAGAGAGGTTTATGACACAGGCGGTTTTGGTGGCCATCTGCCACACAGTCCTTCTGAAGGGTGGGATCACACTTAAGTTTACTTACAGTGGAGAACAGGAGAAAGCATCCTCTTAAAACAGTCACCTTCTATCGTGCAGTAACTACATTAGAAAGTGTGCACGTGTCAAAATGTTATTGAAGTTTCATGTGATCACTGTTTTAAGTAAAACGACATAAATACATATTAAGATAACAATAAACTTGTGCTAGTTCACCAAATCAAGTCCAAGTTTAAACACTCAAATATTTGGACATCTTTACTCAATTCTCCTGAGCAAATTATAAATCCTGTTTGTCTTCTATCTAAATTACGTGTCTTAGAGACACATTATATATAACATAATGACCTTTTTGAATTAAAATGGCCTTATTTTTGAGTAAAACACCTAAAACTTTTGAGGTTGTTAGCCACAACATGCTTGCCTTTCTAATGCAAGTGGTGCCATTAGATTCACAGGTATACCTTGCAAAAATAAGCCCAATAGGATTAAAAATCTACTGCCTACATGTACTGTACTGGCATGTACTTTGAGAGCAAGATTTCTTCTTAAATCTGGTAAGAAAAAAAAATTAATTAAAAATACTTGAAAAAAATCCACTGTCAACTTTAAAAGATTTCAATGGTCACTCTCAAGCTAATGTCTTCCACTCGTGGAACTAATCTTTTTATGATGAAAATGCTAGGGAGGGGAAAAAAAAAATTAAAAAAAATCAAAACTCAGCAGCCACAAAGCTTGGCAGAATTTTCTGACACATGCAGACCACTTCTGTATATAATCAGAAACAAAACAAAAAATACTTCTCTAGAGAGAGTCAATATTAAATCCTTATATTAAAACAATACATAGTATTTATTCTCTCTGTATGCGCTGCAAAATCAAAAGAGACACAATATAGGGCCAAAAACCGGTCTTCAGGCCTGACCCCTACATGATCATCCACGTTTATATCAAATTGTAAAGAACAGGCTCCAAAAGATGAAAATATTTTTACATCCTTGTGGCACACACCTGTACGTAGCTTTCATATTCCAAGAATTGATTAGCAAGCCATGTGTATTAGCCTTAACTTACATATTTACACTTTTATCTA